TAGCTCACAGTTTTTTAGCCCCTGGCTTACACATTTTTGTCTTCGCTCAGGAAGGAGGGCTCCAGAGCAAACTAATTTATGCAGTAGCCAAATTGTTCACTCACAACTTTAATGCCAGTAGCCAGTTTGGTGTAGTGGTTAAGTGCGCAGACTCTAATCTGGGAGAACCGGGTCTGATTCCCCACTCCTCCACATGCAGCTGCTGGTGTGACCTTGGGTCAGTCACAGTTCTCTCAGAGCTGTTCTCTCAAGAGCAGTCCTTGAACGAGCTCTCTCAGCCCCACCTACCTCACAGGGTGTCTGTTGTGGGGAAGGGAAGGGAAAGGCGTTCGTAAGCCGCTCTGAGTGAAGGGCGGGGTATAAATACAATCTCCTCCTCCTCCTCCTCCTCCTCCTCCTCCTCACAAAGTAGAATTTTTTGCTCAGAAGACTCCACAGCTTAGAGGGAGCATGGGTCATCAGAACGGCTGGCACAACCAGGGGAGGAAGCGCAAAGTGGAGAAGAAGGGGGTGATCTGGCAAGGTGCCGGGGAGGGGAGGGGAAGCGGCTGCCTCACACCTGACTGCCCTGATTAGTCTCCGGTTCCTGAATAACAAACCCGGCTAAAAATATTCATTGGGGGGGGGGGGGAAACAAGTCTATTTGTGCCGACACTCTCTTTGAGCTCCCAAAAAAGAAAAGAGGGGTTGGCCGTTTGGGGGGGGGGATGTGAGCAGCCGACAGGTACGCAGGTGGGTGGATGAGCAAAAGGAAAAGGAGCTCTCCGCGGCTCCCTGGAATTATCGATTCCTTCTCTGCGCCCTCCCCAGTGCCAGAAGCATCTCCACCCCGCACACATCTTCCTCAATAGCTTCGCCCACCAGCTCTTCTTCACAGCCTCCAAACATTATACACCACCTCGACATCAGGCTTTCACAGGCACATTACTTCCATAGTGTTGTTGAGCGTGCAACAGCTTTGGGGATGTGCTGTGGCTTGGGAGTAAAGCGTGCATGCCCTGCATGCGCAAGGTCCCAGGGTTCAGTCTCTAATATCTCCAGAGGAAGAAGAGGAGGAGGAGACGGAATTTATACCCTGCCCCTCACTACCCGAAGGAGTCCAGAGCAGCTTACAATCTCCTTTCCTTCCCCTCCCCACAACAGACACCTTGCGAGGTAGGTGGGGCTGAGAGAGCTCTTTCAAGGACTGCTCTTGAGAGAACAGCTCTGAAATAACTGTGACTGTCAGGTCACACCGGCAGCTGCATGTGGAGGAGTGGGGAATCAAACCTGGTTTTCCAGATTAGAGTTCATGCTCCTAACACCAAACTGGCTCTCAGGAAAGCAGGTGCTGCAAGACGGGCTTACTCTTCCTAAGACACAGGACACCAGCTGCTAGAGAGACCAATAATCCGACTAGGGCCCAGGCAGCTGTTAAGCTGTCTCTTTATGCTAGCGATCCCCAACGTGGTGCCCATGGGCACCAGGGTGCCTGCCAAGGTCTTTCTTAGGGCCCTGCTTGCTTCTGAAGTCTCAACAATAAACTCAAAGGGAGTTGAAGGGAACAGGACAAACAATACCCAAGAAGCTTCAGGTCGCCCTCCAGCAGTTTATGGATTACTGAAGTGCCAGAGTTCTCTCAGCCCCACCCACCTCACAGGGTGTCTGTTGTGGGGAGGGGAAGGGAAAGGAGTTTGTAAGCCGCTCTGAGACTCCAAGTGAAGGGCGGGGTATAAATCCAGTCTCTTCTTCTTCTTCTTCTAAAGCACTGGGTTCCTCCCAGGCAGTTATGCCACAACTATGTGCCCTCATCTTGGCCATAGATGTGGACTTCCTGATGCCTCTGGGCTGGGAAAGCCCTCTCTGTGGGCACACGGGGAGCAAACATTCCCCTTTCTTTGGGAGCTGGAATGAAACAGCGATGCTTCCCCAAAGCAAAGAGACACTCCTGCCTTTCCTCCACCTCCTCAGTGCAATAGGAGACATCACCTTTGCATCTGCTAGGAGCCCCCGTTGAGAAGCAGCTGCCTCCATCATAGGTCAAGGCTTGCCTTGGAACCTCCCGACATTTGGTGATTGGCCCCAGGGCAACCCTGTTGAGGTGGGGCCCACTACTACCCTTTCTCAAAACCTCAGACATGCCCCCAGGCTCAACAGCCCTGGGGACCCCGGACTGAAGCCCTTATTCACTCACAAAAACCACCTTCTGGGGCAAGCCATCCATTCAAGTCTGATTCTACATGCTGAGGTCAAAAGAGACAGAGGGCGCCTTCAGCTGTCTTGCTGAACAAGTTAGCGCTGGAGGCTTCCTCTAATGCTACAACTTCCCAGAAAATGGAAAGACTCCCAAACCGTGAGACACAGGGTCCCATTCTTGGAGACTGCCTTCTCCTATACGAAGCAGCCCAAGTTCTAAGATCTCCTACATAGACCCTTCTTCAAGGGCATCTGCTCTCACAGATTAGGCAGGTGGCCACTGGAGACGGGGCCTTGGTAGTGGTGGCATCGTGTCTATGGAATGCCTTTCCTAGACAGTATGGCTAGTGAGACAGCCACAGGGTTCAAATCCCCACACACTGCCACGAATCTCCCTGGGTAGCCTTGGCCCAGATTAGGGTTCCCAAGTCCAAAATACTCACCGGGGGGGGGGGGGGGGAGCCTTGGCCGGCTCCGGGAGCCAGCACGTCACAGGAAGTGACGTGCAACGTCGACCACGTTGAGGGCGTGGCCACAATCGTGGGAGGGAAAACCATAGAGTTTCCCCTCCCCGATCCGGGCCACGCCCCCAACGTGGTCGACGTGCACGTCACTTCCTGTGACGCTGAGCTTCGGGGGGCCGAGTTCCCCCCGGGGCCTGATTCCGCAGCGGCGGAAATCAGGCCTCCAAAGCGAGGGTTTACCCGCCACCCGCCCCCACTTGGCAGCCCTAGCCCAGATGCACCCTCTTGGCCTACGCTACCTCACCAGGTTGTTGCGAGGATAAAATGGGGAAGGAAGAACCATGTACATCGCCCTGAACCTTTTAGAGGGAGGGTGCAATAAAAATGTACCAGACAGATCGATGGATGAATGTTCCGACTCGCGGCAATTCATGCTCACTATGAGATGCGCCTCAGGAAATAAAAGGAGAAATGGAAACTGAGGTTGTAAGGAGGCCTTTCAGCCTAAGCCTCATTATCATCGAGGACAATTCAGTAACTTGGGCTGACTGTTCGGGTGCACTGTGACTCTCCATGCTTCAGTGAGATGAGTCGTTGTGCTGGGCTGAGTAAAATTCATTGGGCTGCTCAGTTATAACGTTAAATAATTTGCTATAATAATGCCCTGAAGAATAGACGCACGAGGGGGCTTTTGGCATGCAAAGGGGGCTTGCTAGGGCGACAGATATGTGCTGACCTTCCCCCCCCAGTGCTGTCGCTTCAATACCCTCGCATTAGTTAGGGCTGCCAGCTCTGGGTCGGGAAACACCTGGAGATCTCGGGGGCGGAGCCTGGGGAGGGTGGGGCTTGGGGAGGGACCTCAGCAAGGTGCAATGCCGTAGAGTCCACCCTCCAAAGCTGCCATTTTCTCCGGGGGGACTAACCTCTGCTGTATGGAGATCAACTGTAATAGCAGGTCTCCAGGTGGCACCTGGAGGTTGGTAACCCTACTTATGCTTTGATTTTAACAATCAGGATCCTTCTTCCCAGGAATAAGTGACCTTGGCACATAACCAATCAGATCTTGCTGTGTGACAATGATGTTTCATTACTCCGGACTGGTGGTGATGAGTCATTATACCTATACTATGGAATGCCAGTGTACGGCCGGCGCTCAAGGTCATTTACAAGCCATTCTACTGCCCAAGTCCATTTTCTCTTCAGATCTCCATTGCTCTGTAAAACAGTTGCTGAAGAGCGCTGCTACCATACACTTTATACACTGGTAAGCCCTTTTTCGATCATGGTTCTTAGAGCACTGAGTTGTATCAAAAAGCCCATCCCGGTCACCTGGAATTCCTTTAAGTGCATTGTGAATCCTACTGTGTGATCTTTCCAGAAAGTAACCCGCTTCTGACACCATGCAGCGTAGCTTGGGCAAGACCCTTGAGGGCAAACAAAGCCAAGAGAGAGGGAGGGCAATGATTCCTCCATCGTATTGCCTCCCCCTGAATGGACACACACATGAAGCTGCCTTCTCCTGAGCCAGACCCCTTGGAGGGTGAAGGTCAATGTTATCTACTCTGGCCGGCAGGAACTCTTCAGGGACTCGGGCTGAGGTCTTTCACATCATCTGCTACTTTATCCTCTTAACTGGACATGCTGGGGATTGAACCCGGGACCTTCCGCATGGAAAGCAAATGCTTTGCCTCTGAGCAGTGGCATAGGCAGTGTTCCCTCTAAGCTGAGTTAGTGTGAGCTAGTTCACAGTTTTTGAGCCTCTGGCTCACACATTTTAGTCTTCGCTCAGGAAGGATGGCTAAAGAGCGAACTAATTTATGCAGTAGCCAAATAGCTCGCTCACAGATTTAATGCCAGTAGCTCACAAAGTAGAATTTTTGCTCACAAGACTCCACAGCTTAGAGGGAGCATTGCTCATAGGCGAGGTGGCATTTTCTGAATGACACTAGGGAGGAAAATGCGGTCGCCACAGCACACACGTTGTTCACACAGCGTGGCTGTGCTGTGGGTACTTCTGACCTCACCCCCCCCCCCATATATTGATAGAAAGGGGACTCTTTCCATGAGCGTATGAAAGCGTATGCAATAAGCACTTTCCTATTTTGACTCAGCCCTTAGCTGCAGAATCGCCGTGTTAGTCTTGATTGTCAGGCTGAACGGCTTCATGGGCCCGTTTAATTGACAGACCCGGCTGACTGCACTGGATTTAAATGTCAAGTCTACAGAGCTGGGTTGTCAAATTAGGAAAGGTTTAATTGCTTGGCTGACCGATGGGGTTGGACGGCCACGACGCTGGGCCTTTGATGTGACTGCTCCAGAGACGGACCCGTTCCCCCCCCCCCCGGTATAACCCCCACTCACCGAACTGGCTTCCATGATGTCCCGCCAGAGGGGTGAATCACTGTCCCGCTCGGCCAGTTCCAGCAGGTTGTCCAGCACCACTTGGCCAATGAGGTCGTGACGGGAGAAGCGGTCAAAATCGTAGACACTGAAGTGCAGCTTCCGAGAGGGCAGTTCGGCAAAGGGGACGTTGAAATTAAAAGTCTCGTTGAAGATGGGGTTGAGCGTCTTGCGGTGCACCTTAGTCTGGAATTTCTTCTTGCGGTCGGGCAGCAGGTACATTTTCACATAGGGGTCTGAGAAGCCATTGGCGTCTTTGGCGGGCAGGTCCACACCCCGGAGAATCCTCACCACCAGCTGCTCCGTGCCGTAAGCATAGCGCAGGGCAAAACTCAGCCGCCCGCAGCTCGCGGCCTCCCCTTTCTTGGAGTCCGACTCCCCAGAACGCTGCTTGTATAACTCCGGCTTGATCTGCCCGATGCTGGTCACTTGCTCCACCTTCTCCTCCCCTCCGTGGACTCCGGTGTCCGGGCTGCTCAACTGCTGGGTCAAGGGGCGTGGCAGTGTGTTGTACCTGCGGAGAGGACAGAAATCAAACCAGTCTCTTGCGCAATCATCTCCCTCTATCTAGCCACGCAGGTGAGGAATCCTGCATCCAGATCGAAACGGGGCTTTATTTATTTGCTTTTAATCCGGCCCTCCCTCTTACGAGGTCCAGGCAGCGTATGTGGGGCTCCCCTTTTACCATCGCTGCAAATCTGTGCGGCCAAGAGATGATCAGCGGCCTGAGCTTTATGGCTAAGGATCTAACTGCAGGATATCCTTTTCCCAGGGACGTCCAAGATTCAGGCTGATAGGCATGTTCTGGAAGTTCCATGCTTCCCAGGTGCATGGGCCAGTTCATGAGAGCCAGTTTGGCGTAATGGTTAAAACGTGGACTCTAATCTGGGAGAACCAGGTTTGATTCCCCACTCCTCCACATGCAGCTACTGGTGTGAACTTGAGTCAGTCATAAGTTCTTTCAGAGCTGTTCTCTCAAGGACAGTTCTCGGGAGAGCTCTCTCAGCCCCACCTACCTCACAGGGTGTCTGTGACGGGGAGGGGAAGGAAAAGGGATTGTAAGCCGCTCTGAGACTCCTTTGGGTAGTGAAGGGCAGGGTATAAATCCAATCTCCTCCTCCTCCTCCTCCTCCTTAGAGCAGGGCCCCCAGTGCATGAGGACAGTGGGCTCAGACTTTCTCACCCGTGTACTGTTTTCGTGACCTCAAATGGCCCACTAGGGGCTCCACATGCCCTGATGGGGTCCATGCAGTTTTCCCCAGTGGGGCAAACAGATTCCCCTGGGGTCTTTTCAGGTCAGGAAAATGGCACGGGAGTGAGAGGTATAAGGATCCGAGAGGCATAAGGATCCTTTCCCTGTGTGCCACAGTCCTGATCAGTGTTCCCTCTAGGCTGAGTTAGTGTGAGCTAGCTCACAGTTTGTTAGCCTCCGGCTCACACATTTTTGCCTTCGCTCAGAAAGGACAGCTCCAGAGCAAACTAATTCATGCAGTAGCCAAATCGCCCGCTCACAACTTTATTGCCAGTAGCTCACGAAGTAGAATTTTCGCTCAGAAGACTCCACAGCTTAGAGGGAACATTGGTCCTTATCCAAATTACAACCTCATCTGCCTAGGAACTGAGTACCCAGAGGGAGTCACAAAACACTATTGACTGAAAGTCCTTTCACTGAACCCAGATCTCCCTGGTCTGAGTCCAACGCTATAGCCGCTACACCCCCCTGGCGCATGAGTCATGAGCTTTCCTTTTCCGCTCTTATGGCCATGGATAGAAGCTTTGGCGGTCAACTGCTGCTAAGGCTCACAAACCAGGGGAAGAACAAAGTTTGAGTCCAGGGGCACCTTTAAGACCAACAAAGTTTTATTCAAGGCAGAAGCTTTTGTGTGCAAGCACACTTCCTCAGATACAGTGGAACAGAATTTCCTCAGCCATTACATATAGGAAGGGGGGATTAGTTGCCAGGAAGGGCTAGTGAGAATCAAGCATAAGTAACTGGGTGATTATAGCTGAGATTGGATTAAGGTTAAGGGGGTTGTTAAGATCCGTGAATGGCAGTAAATGAGGATGCAAATGCAAGAATTAGCAAACAGATGTGAGAATGAAGTTTGAGTTCAGGGGCACCTTCAAGACCAACAAAGTTCAATTCTGGGTATAAGCGAGAACTGAGAGATTTAGCATATGTAGATGCACAAACCAGAGGAAGGTCAGGCTTCCAATGGTCAGGGAGTTTGTACCTTCCAGAATTTCTAGCCTTCCCTCTTGGCATCTATTTTTGCCAGACAACGCCCATCGCTCCACCACTCCTGCCATTCCACTCCCACTTTCCTGAAGCCCCATAATCCTTTGCAAAAACCAAAACCTGGGAAGCAGAAGGAAGTGTACCCGGTAAAACAAGCCATTAATATATTCTGAAACGGAATCTGAGTTTTCTTGGTGAAGCGCTTTCCAGGAGACAGGTTTTGACTGTGCTCAGTTGCACATACTTCTAAAAAGGTCACCTTAATGCCATTTTAACTATTTGCATTCCGTTTGTGATGATTCGTCTATCATTTGTAAACCACGTTCAGTGCCATTTATTAAAAGGCAGGGTAGAAATCCCCCCAAACAAACAAAGCTAGAGTCGCATGTCAAAACACTGCACTTTTGATATGCTACAAGAGCCATGCTGGGCAGAGTGTCAGAGTAGGTTCTGGGAGACCCAGGTTCGAATTCCCACTATGCCAGGAAGCTTGCTGGGTGACCTGGGGCCAGTCACACACTCTCAGCCTTACCTACCTCACAGGGTTGTTGTGAAGACCAAATGGAGGAGAGGAGAATGATCCCCAATGGGCAGAAAGGCGGGGTATAAATAAAAAATAAACAAATATATATATAAATAATCATATTAATTTTTCCCTGGCTTGCCGGATGCTGACCCAGAGATCACACCTGCCATTTATAAGCTGTAAATCAGCAGGGGAGGGTGCTGCAACTGGATCTCCTGCACTGATCCTCAGCCGGCACTTCTGCCGATATATCTGCAAGCGGGACCTCGCTGTTACCCCACAGCAGGCAGGGAAAGACAGGAGAGAGAGGGGAGGGAGATGCTACGTACTGTCTTGTTGCACTGGAGCTGTTAATCTCCAGCAACCAGCAACCCTATTCATTTTCATTCTCACACAACAGCCCCGAGTTGTCCCAGTTATTTCCCTGGTTAGAGATAGGTTGCTAAAGGCTAGCGACTTGCCAGTGAGTCTGCTGCAGGGGTAGGACCTGAACTGATGCCCTGCAAGCTTTAAGTCCTACTCTGTCCAACAGATCACAGAGTCATTCCTCCACTCTGCATCCCCATACCTTACTTTCTGCCTGACCTGGATAGCCCAGGCTAGCCTGATTTTGTCGGATCTCGAAAGCTAAGCAGGCTCGGCCTTGGCTAGTATTTGGAAGGGCGACCTCCAAGGAATATCAAGGTCCTGATGCAGAGGCAGGCAATGGCAAACCACCTCTGAAACGTCTCCTGCCTTCAAAACAAGACTAGCTCGCCGCCTAGTGGTGCATAACGCTAAAGAGCTAGAACCTCCAGCTGCCATACAATCTTAGGATCTCCTAGCTATTCTACACACAATGCCATACAATTATTATTATTATTATTTCTTTCTGTGCATCTCCACTGAGCAGGGCTATTTTTGGGCAGGAACGCACAGGAACGGAGTTCCGGCTGGCTCCCAAGTTGGCCACACCCAGCAGGAACGTATTAGCATAATAGGCCACACCCAACAGCAGAAACTCATTAGGACTGGCTACAATTAGGGGTGTGTGGCCTAACATGCAAAGGAGTTCCTGCTACAAAAAAGCCCTGGGTTTGGACAACAAACAAGGTAAACAGAATAAGAAGCAAAAGGTGGGTGTGGCTGGATGAGCACACTTCTGGTAACACGGGGTGCGTGGCCTAATATGCCATTGAGCTGCACTGTCAGGGGTGTGGCCTAATATGCTAATGGGTTTTTGCTTTTGGGTGTGGCCTATTATGCTAATGAGTTCCTGCTGGGCTTTTTCTACCAAAAAAAGCCCCCTGCCACTGAGTTAAAAAAAAGTTTTGATAATGCAACTGTCCAACTGTAAGGATCTCCACGTCTTCCACCATTCCACACATAACCCTCCATACTGAAATCTCTTTCTCTCTCCAGTCTGTTTGTCCCAGCACAATGTGGTGGTGGAAAATACCATTCAGTCACAGCTGTGACCCCATAGGGGTTTCGAGGCAAGAGACTAACAGAGGTGCTTTGCCATTTGCCTGCCTCTGCATAGCGACCCTGGACTTCCTTGGTGGTCTCCCATCCAAATGCTACCCAGCGTTGACCCTGCTTAGCTTCCAAGATCTAGAAAGACTGGCCTAGCCTAGGCCATCCAGGTTAGGACCACCACACAACAGCCTCCTGCTTTTCACATACAACTGAGCCTTCCTATCTAGACCCGCCAATCTTTCCCCATCATCTCACTCACCTGGGTGTGGGTGCCAAGCTTGCAACCTGCTGGTGGGAATGGGCATTGGGCATATTGCCCTCCTTGGTGGTAGTCTGGCCTTCCACAGGGAGGTCGGGGGAGGTCTGGCTGACTTTGAGGTTGGCCTCGGGGTAGGAATCCATATCGAGGTAGGACCTCTCGGGCATCTCCGGCCCCAGCTCCACCCGCTCCGCCAGGAGGTCCCCAAAAGGTGAGTGGTGGAGGTGAGCGTGCAGGGGGTGCTCCTTGCGCTGTGTCTGCGAAGAGGAGCCTTTATCCCGCCAAGGGATCCAGCAGAGCTTCCACGAGACAAAGAGGGAGACACCCAGCAGTACGATCCCACAGAAGGTCACGATCACCGACAGGAGACTGACCAAGATTTCTAGATGGGACAAGCAGAAAGGCAGGCACCCGTGACTCCGGTATCCAGCCTTCATGGCTGAGACATGGCGGATCTCCCCTCCCACTCCTTCTGAATCCTGCTGAGCCCCACAGACATGCGTTCATGTCAAGCAAAAAGCTGGTACCTTGTAAATTCTCCTTTTTCAGAATTATGGTCGGACTTTGACCACCTTGAATGCAAGCACTGGTATATATATTTTAGTTGTAGATTCAAAACGTTTACCAAAGATACCCAGGCATTTAGTCGTCCCCCCCCCCAGGCATTTAGTCCCCCCCCAACGGTGTTGACCAGTGTTCCCTCTAAGCTGTGGAGTCTTGTGAGCAAAGATTTTACTTTGTGAGCCACTGGCAAAAAAGTTGTGAGCGAGCAGTTTGGCACTGCATAAATTAGTTTGCTCTGGCGCCATCCTTCCTGAGCTAAGGCAAAAATGTGTGAGCCGGAGGCTAAAAAACTATGAGCTACCTCACAATAACTCAGCTTAGAGGGAACACTGGTGTTGACTAGAAACTTCTCCCTTGCTAGAATACCATAAAAATTCAGACTGGCAGGATCCTGTAGGATAAGACCTTTTCCCATAGTTTATGGGGCAACTGGAGCCATGATGCCATTCATGCACTCCTTCCCTGCAGACCAGCATAGATTTGGGATAGTACAGGATTTCAGTTTTTCTTGCCTTGAGGGACTCACATTAACACACACGAGGCCTCCTACTGAATCAGATCATTGGTCCATTAAAGTAAGGATTGTCTACTCAGACAGGCAGCTGCTCTCCAAGGTCTCAAGCGGAGGTCTTTCACATCACCTGCTACCTGATCCTTTTAACTGGAGAGGCCGGGGATTGAACCTGGGACCTTCTGCACGCAAAGCTGGTGCTCCACCACTGAGCCAAGGTTCAATCTCAACACACGAAGCAGCTTTATACTGAGTCAAACCACTGGTCTATTCAGGTCAGCACTGTCGACTCTGAAGCTCTCCAGGGTCTTTAGACTTCCCCATCGCCTGCTCCCCAATCCTTACAGAGAGGCCAGGGATTGAACCTGGGGCCTTCTGCATGCAAAGCAAATGGCTTAACTGCTGAGCCAGTACGTTACCAACGCCCGGGAGCAAGACATCGTTCCTCAGAGGTCCATCAGTGGCTATTAGCTGTAAGATATAGATGGGGCATTATGTCTGGGGCAGTGATGGACTGTATTCTTAGTGCTTGGGAGGCAACAGTGGGAGGGCTTCTGGAGTCTGGCCCCGCTGGTGGACCTCCTGATGGCACCTGGGTTTTGTCTACTGTGTGACCCAGAGTGTTGGACTGGATGGGCCACTGGCCTGATCCAACATAGCTTCTCTTACGATCTTCTGTTCTCTTCTGCCTGAGATCCTCCTTCTAAATATGGGCCACATCCTACCATTAACTACCTCCAGGCTCCTCACCTGAGTTGATGGGACCCACATGGCCCGTCAGTTCCTGACACTTCTCCCGTTCCTGGGCAGCACATGTGTTGGAGCACAGCACCTGAAGAAGCTCCATCGCCTTGCGGTGCCTCTCTTCGTCGTAATCTCCCGACATGATGCCTACAAGGGAAGGCAGAATAAAGGGACACCAGAAAGGCCAAGGTTACACCTGCACTGAAGTTTAATCTGCTGCTCTTGAACACATGCCTTACACTGAATCGGATCCTCGGTCCATCAAGGTCAGTATTGTCTACTCAGACTGTCAGCAGCTCTCCGGGGTCTCAGATAGAGGTCTTTCCCATCATCTACTGCATCGTCCTTTTAAATGGCTATGCCAGGGATTGAACCTGGAACCTTCTGCATGTGAAGCAGAGGCTGTACCGCTGAGCCACAGTCCTTATGTCTTTGGTGGGCCACGACATTCTTATTGTCTTCAATGGCTTGTCTGTGGTTGGCTGGCAGCTCATTGGACTGGAAGAGCATCCTAATCTATTTTATTTATTTACTTATTTAGCTGCTGTAGATTTCCCGGGTTGTATGGCCATGGTCTTGGAATTCTAGGACCTGACGTTTCACCAGTAGCTGTGACTGGCATCCTCAGAGGTATAACACAGAAAGATGGGAGTACTCTCTGTGCCAAGGTGAGACGAAAAACGGTAGGCAGGTAATTTATATCTACTCAGGAAGGTGGGGTAGGGCTGAGTCATTATCTTGTAGGAGTTCCCCGGGCTGTGAACATGCTAATGGAGGAGCTTTCCTGAGGAGGTTCTTTTGTATATTTCGTCTTATATTCCGCCCTCCCCACTAATGGGCTCAGAGCAGATGACAACAAAAGTCAAAACATTTCACAGTGAGAATTAACACACTTCTTAAAAATAATCGATAATAAATAATTAAAACAGCATTTAAACTGAGCTACACGGGAGATGCATTGCTGGGGGGGGGGCAACTGGGTTGCCTCTGGAAATGACTGGTTTCTCCAATCGTCAGTATTTGCCTCCAGGAGAAACATAGATCTCCACCAATGTTCCCTCTAAGCTTTGGAGTCTTGTGAGCGAAAATTCTACTTTGTGAGCTACCAGCATTAAAGTTGTGAGCAAGCGACTTGGCTACTGCATAAATTAGTTTGCTCTGGAACCATCCTTCCTGAGCTAAGACAAAAATGTGTGAGCTAGAGGCTAAAAAACTGTGAGCCAGCTCACACTAACTCAGCTTAGAGGGAAAACTGATCCCCACCCTCCTTATTTCTTTCATCCTCACAGCAATGGGGGGGAGGGATTAGAACCCCATTGGCCACAAGGGTTGTGGGAGAAAAGAAAGGGAAAGGGTTAGTGAAGGAAACTGGACAAGGGGCAACAGCAGCTGTTTCCTGGCTCAGAGCCTTGGCGCACCAAGGTAGCGTCACTGTCTCTGGATGAGAAGAAGAAGGATTGGATTTATACCCCACCCTTCACCTGGAGTCTCAGAGCGGCTTACAAACTCCTTTCCCTTCCCCTCCCCGCAACAGACACCCTGTGAGGTGGGTGGGGCTGAGAGAGCTCTTTCGAGGACTGCTTTTGAGAGAACAGCTCTGAGAGAACTTGTGACTGACTGAAGGTCACACCAGCAGCTGCATGAGGAGGAGTAGGGAATCAAACCCGGTTCTCCCAGATTAGAGTCCATACATTTAACCAGTACACCAAACTGGCAACCGTGGAATTGAAAGGGATAAAGGACTGTAGGCCCAGCAGATGCTCAAGAGAACCAGTCCCATCACCAGGAAGGAAAGGAGAATAAGGAACACAGCGGCTGATACAAGTACACTCTCCAGGTGAGGAGCTGGGTAACTTTCCTCTATTCCAGAGCAACAGAGCCCCCTCCAAAGCCCTCTCACCTGGTTAGCAACTGGTTCAGGGTATGGCTGTCAGGTTGCTTCTGTATTGCTGAATCCAGGATGCCAACTGGTCCAAGTCAGTGCCAAAGAGCAGGAGGGTAGCGGAAAGCCAACGCCAAAGCCCCGGTGATCCGAGTCCGCGGGTGAGCAGCAGCCGGCTGGGAGCAGGACACGCAATCTGCCATCCGGGGCACTGCTGGGTCCATGTGTTGCAAAGTGGGGAGTGCAGGGTGGGGTTGACAGCACCCTCTGCCAGGGATGCTTGAGGGATTGACCTGCAGGTGGGGCCGTCAAAGCGGAATCAGTGGCTCTGGGTGGCTTTGTGAGACCGTGGGGGGAGGCCAGAGCCACGGCTGACCTTGGGGGGCTCCTTCATGGCAGCAGGAAGTAGTCTGCAAAATCTTCAAGGAAACTGCTGGCCAGAGGATCCTCCTCCTGCTACCCTCCAGAGTTACGTGGACGGCTGCAGTGGAGAGAAAAGCCCGTGAGATCTGGGCCCATACTTGCTTTCTATGGGCTTTCATCATTACCTGAGGGAATAGAGCACACCACGCACACACAGTGGTCATCCCTGATCTAAAAGAACACTAAAGAGCCTAGGGAGGGGGTACTTAAAGACTGTTATATCTTGCCTTTTAAAAAGTAATCAGGTGCTTATCCTCCCTAAAATTCATCACCCTTGAGGACTGCCAAGGGAAGTCATGGGCTCCAGGACATCTGGGTTCCTTGGGAAAGGGGGGAAGAGGAAGGAGGAGATTGGATTTATACTCTGTCCTTCACAACCCAAAGGAGTCTCGGAGCGGCTTACCCCTTCCCAACAACAGACACACAGGTAGGGCTGAGAGAGCTCTTTCGAGAACAGCTCTGAAAGAACTTGTAACTGACCCAAGGTCGCACCAGCAGCTGCATGTGGAGGAGTGGGGAATCAAACCCGGTTCTCCCAGACTAGAGTCCGTGCTCCTAACCACTATACCAAACTGGAAGGGGTGTTGTGGGGCTGGGAGGGAGCGGCAGAAACCCTGGATTCTCTGTAGGGGGAAAATGAACATAGAATTTAGATTCTTGGGAGAGAAATATTATTTAGAGATGCAGAATAGTGAAATGAGAGCACCTGCTAAGAGCCATGAACCCTGCGTTCTTTCAGACAGGTGTGCGATTTATTTTATGTTATTTATTAGATTTTAAAATTAGATTCAAGGAGCTCTGGGCAGCACACATGGCTTCCTCTCTATCTTCTATCATCACATAACCCTGTGGGGTAGGCTCAGTTGAGTCCGTATGACTGACCCAAGGACAGCCAGTGAGCTTTGGGGCAGGGTGGGATTTGAAGCTGAGTCTCTCAGCCATAGCCGGCCGCTATACCACATTGGCTCCCAGAGGTAAGCGATATTTTGGGCTGGAACAGAGAAGTGAGGACATTTTTGACTTCTTTGAATAGGGAATAAGGCAAATCACGGTTTGTGACTTGAAGCCTTTCCGGGGCCTCGGATAACGAAGCTGCTTTCTACCGAGTCAGACCCCAGGTCTACCGAGTTCAGTACCGTTTACTCTGATCGGCAGCGGCCCTCCAGGGTCTCAAGCGGAGATCTTTCTCATCGTTTGCTACCTGATCCTTTCCACCGGAGATGCCAGGACTGGAACCCGGGTCCTTCTGCATGCCAAGCAGACGACCTACCACTGAGCCATGACCCAGCCCTTGTCGATCCAGAGGTCATGAGGTTAACCGCCTGTGCTTGCCCATTATGTGGTGGTCTCTCTAGGGCCAAACAGCCATCACGGAAAGTCCCTTCTTGCCAAAGCTCTTAGGCTGGGCAAGTAGGAAGTGCAAGGTAAAGGCCTGGAAGCGTGGGCTTTGTAAGAGAGGCAAACCCACGATTCCCCCCCCCCTTTCTCCGGCTCTCCCCTTTTTGTGAGAAAGGAGCTGTCAGGGGAGAGCGAGCCTGTTCTGCTCCCCAAGAGAGGAACAAGCCGCAGAGGCAGTGGGGAGAGGAGGCTGATTCTCCCAGCCTCGCCCCCAAAAGCTTCTGCAGCCTCTGCTGCTGCCATCGCTGCATCCCTGCTGGAGTCGCCAGCGTTAGTTCCTGCCCAGAATAACAAGTACCAGGGCTAGATGGTAGCACACTGCCTTCTCCCCCGCCCCCCCCCAAATCATCTCTTTCTCTGGGCAAAAACCATCCTTGCCAGTCTCAGAGGCAGAAACTCTCCTCTTCCAAACCCAACACGGCCTCTTTCTGCCTCTACCCCAACGAACGAGGGTATTTTCGATTAGGCAGGGAACTATGACAGCATTTTGAAAGGAGGGAAAGGAAAAGTCCGCCCACACCTGCCCGTGTTTTTGTCAAGTTCACACACACACACCCCTTTCCAGAAATGAGCTTTCAAGGGTTGCATTGAATTACTAGGTTCTCTCTCTCTGTGGTAAATATTTATTCTTGCCCTCTTTCCTAGGAACTCAGGGCGCTGTACAGTGTTTTCCCTTCCCCATTTCATCCATGCAACAGCCCTGTGAAGTAGGGTTTTAATCCTCTCAAAAATCCTGTAAAGTAGGGCTAGATAGTGTGTGTGTGTGTGTGTGTGTGTGTGTGTGTGTGAGAGAGAGAGAGAGAGAGAGAGAGAGAGAGAGAGAGAGAGAGAGAGAAGAGAGAGAGAGAGAGAGAGAGAGAGAGAGAGAGAGAGAGAGATATTCCCCAAAGTCTCCCGGATCCTAATTCAACACTCTAATGACTAGATTACACTTGCTAGTGTCCCCCCCTTACTATCATCCCTTCAAATATCAACCTCCCCATTCTGCTGTTTCTTCCCCTAGGGTTGCCATGCTCCAGGTGGTGGCTGGAGACCTCCTGGGATTACAACTGATCTCCAGGCAACACAGATCAGTTCACCTGGAGAAAATGGCCGCTTTGGAAGATGGGACTCTGTGGCACTGCACCCCACTGAAGTCCCTCCCTTTCCCAACCCCGCCCTCCTCAGGCTCCATCCCCCAAATCTCCAGGTATTTCCCAACCTAGATTTGGCAACCCTATCCTTCCCCCTCCCCATACACAACTTCCCCTTCCTCTAGCTAGAACGTTCCCCCTTGGCCGCAGCTAATCTTTTGTACAACACCTAGCTTTTTAAAGGTTTTCATAATAATAAAACCACCTTTTTCTTTCTACCCTCAACCATCCCCGGTGAATGTCCACAGTGTACACTCCCTTTTCGCATGTCACTCATCAGCAGACTCATAGGGAATGGCTGTGCTCAGCTATCGGGAGAAGGAGACCTGAGAGAATATCCCACAAGCCTCTGGAATGAAAGGCAAGTCTGTGGGCCAGGATATCTCTTCTGTATACAATATCCCACAATGCCGAGCTCTTCACAGGCCGCCTCACCCAGAGGCCTCCTTGAAACCTCCAGCAGTGCTGTAAATGAGGGAGATGTAGGAAGCTGAAGGGGTCTCTGAAGTAACTCGCAGCCTGGCCTGGTTACCGCTCTGGAAAATCCTCTCCCGCATGGCCTGGGTCAAACTGGCATGTCAGTGCCAGGCATCCAGATGCTCGCTGCCACATTGTGTTATGGAGCCCTGCGCAAAAAATGTGTGCTAGCATGCCAGCTGTCTCCAAAGCTAGCAGAGATACACTACAACCCACAAACACACACAACTGACAAATACACACACACACACTTCCAGAGCAGGCACCCATACATGCACAGATGGTGCAAACAAAAATTTGATGCAAAACATGCACGCTTATGTTCCAAACATGTGCGCTAATGGACATGCTCGCCTGTCCGGAATGTCTAGCGAAAACACATACCCCCCCCCTTGCCAATAGAGTGTCCACTGACTCCTAAGCACTGGAGTGCAAAAGCGCATGACCAGAGATGCTTGATTGGGTTGTCACCCAAGCCAGCTGCGAGCTGGGAGAACACCAAAGGACGCTTGTGTCACCTCATTTGCACAACACCATCTACATAGACAGAAATGAACGTCAACATGCCTACACAGGCAGAAAGGCTTAATTTTGGAAACAGAGGGCACAAGGTCAATTTTCTCTGCTCACGATGTTCCCTGTCTCAGATGTCCACACACATGATGGCAGGTTGTGGCAATGGTACTCTGGATAGAATCAGAAGCAGGGTGTCCCCCCCCCTCCTCCCGCCAGCCTGCCAATGTGGTGACAACAATCCCTATGTGAGTGACACATTTTCTAGAGCCAGCCAGTGACATTTAAAGTAATTCATATGGCCTGGCTAGAATGAGGCCTAGCTCAAGAAAAACACTGCCGCCTGGTCCTGTAATGTTCCATTGTGGAAGTAGCAAAGCCACGTTATCGTCAAAGGCTAACAGAGTGACCTGAGGAGCGCACTTCCTCAAACACTGTTTATATATTTATTGACTGAAAACATAAATATAATTAAAATCTCTCCTCAGTCAGAAACTCAGAATGTGGCCTCAGTCAAGCCGGACTCAGTTTCCCCCACCTACAATGCAAGGTTGGTAGGGTTACCAGCTCTGTGTCAGGAAATACCTGGAGATTTGGGGGGCAGAGTCTGAGGAGGGCAGGGTTTAGGCAGAGGAGGGACCTCATCGGGTTATAATACCACAGACTCCACCCTCCAAAGCAGCCATTTTCTCCAGGGAAACTGATCTTGGTCGTCTGGAGATAACTGTAATAGCGGGAGATCTCCAGATGGCAACCCTAGAGGTTGATCATACTCGCCTACCTTACAGGGCGATTATGAAGATTATCAATAATGCAAACAAAGTTCTTTGAATGTTCTAAACATGTCATATAAATCGGATTGCCAATTCCCAGGTGGTGGCTGGAGATCTCCTGGGACTGCAACTGATCCCCAGGCAACAGAGATCAGTTCTCCTGGAGAAAATGGCTGCTTTGGGGGCGAGACTAGATAGCATCATACCCCATTGAAGACCTGCCTTCCTCAGGCTGCACCCCCAAAATCTCCAAGTATTTCCCAACCTGGAGCTGGCAGCCCTGCAAAACGCTAACCATTATTCAGTGGGCTTCATTGAATGTGCTTCCATCTTGCCCATGTGTCTTCAGAATAAACGCTGCTCTTGAATGCATACAAGCAATTCCAATCACAGTTCTATTCAGTGGGGTGTTCCCTGAAACCCAGCACGAGGGTCAAAGATCCAACCCACAAGTCTTCTCTTTCCTGCCCCACCCCCAGCAGAGACCCACGGCAAGCTCAATTTGTTTCTCATGTGACAGGGGACGATGCTAGGGAGCAGCGCCCAGGCTTCAGAGGTTCAGCCCCTAACATTTCCAGTGAAAGGATTTCATGAAGAAAGTCCTTTCTCTACATACATGAGATCCTGGAGAGCTGCGGCTGATCGAAGGAGAGACTGCAGACTGAGCTGGCCGGACCAGTGGCCCGACTACCTTTACCAGGGCCGGCTCACCCACTAGGCGAACTAGGCATTCGCCTAGAGTGCTGG